CCCGGACCCAGCCTCCCCTCCAACACGCCCCCTAACCCTGATTCCGGAGTCAGGTTGCTGGGCCTCCACACTCCTGCCCCAGCCTTACGATACTGCAGACCACAAACCCGCCGCCCTGGCTGCAAATCCCTGGCCTCCCCGCCGCGCCATCTGAAGGCCCCCTGGCCTGTCAGGAGCTCAACTCACACTCGTACCCCGCCGCTTCGTGCTGTCAATGACCGTGACGTCATCAAACGGTGCCGACCGTCAGCCCCGCGCGCCTATAGGAAGGCGGGGGTGAGAAGATCATCGAGGCTCCGCCTCCGGCGCAGGGTTTTTTCAGGGGGCGGGGCCACGGGCTCTACCAGAGGGGAGAAGCCTGCAGAGAGTAGGAAAGGGGGACCTAGACTGGGTTAGAAGCGGGGAAGAGGGGGAAAGCTGGGAGACCCCTTGGGCCGGGTGCTAGAGCAGTAACCCCCACGGTCTGGCCAGCTGAGGTTCCATTTCCCTCCATTTACACCAGATTACTTAGTGTTCCCGGAATATGCTCCGCGTATTCACCCTTTCTAGCTTTTCGACTGCTGCTTTCTGCCTAGAATGACCCTTTCTCTACCTGGAAAACGCGACCCCCTCCCACCTTTCCTTAACACTGGGTCATAACTCAGACTTTGTTTGATTTCAGCTTAATTTGTTTATGCATTTTTACTCAAACCATGTACTAAGCACTGGACAATAGTGACTGGCATTTCAGATTAGAACTGATAAATTGTTGGTTATCCACAAGAGGTCCCTGAGTCCCCAGGGCCAGCTTCTGCCAGTTGAAACCTAAAAACTTATATTGTAGATGCACATCCCATCATTAAAAAAAAAATCTTAAACCTTACATTGTCGTTACAACATTAATCAAGGACAGGGTTATAAAAACTTTTTAAATTTCCAGAATGTAAATGAAATTAATTCCTCTAATGATAACATTTTTTAACATTTGGCTGAGGCTGAAACTTGGGTTTATCTCATTGCCTAAATTGGTTCAGATACCATTTCAGGTTTTTTTGTTTGTTGTTTTAAATTTGAGTTAATCATTTTTTTCTACCTACATGTGGCACATAGTTCCTTCTATAATTCTATTGTACTCCTGTGAGTTTATGCAACTTGTAATTTTAGAAACTAAAAAGACATGATTTTGTGCACTATGGTTCCAATTTTATCATCAGCATTCCTTAAAAGTTAAATTTTAGTTTAGTGGGAGCTGAAATATCTAGACCAGTCCTTCCCAAATCCTTTACTAGATATTATTTATTCACTTTTTAATTGTGAGATATTTTACACATTTAAGAGACACTTGAGGACTTACCTGCTGGCACAATGGTTAAGAATCCACCTGCCAGGGCTTCCCTGGTGGTGCAGTGGTTGAGAGTCCGCCTGCTGATGCAGGGGACACGGGTTCGTGCCCAGGTCCGGGAAGATCCCACATGCCGCGGAGCGGCTGGGCCCGTGAGCCATGGCCGCTGAGCCTGCGCGTCCGGAGCCTGTGCTCCGCAACGGGAGAGGCCACAACAGTGAGAGGCCCGCGTACCGCAAAAAAAAAAAAGAAAGAAAGAAAGAAAGAAAGATCCCACAGAGCAACTAAGCCCGTGTGCCACAACTACTGAAGCCCACATGCCTAGAGCCCGTGCTCTGCAACAAGAGAAGCCACCGCAATGAGAAGCCCGTGCACCGCAACGAAGAGTAGCCCCCGCTCACCACAACTAGAGAAAGTTCACACGGAGCAATGAAGACCCAACACAGCCAAAATTTAATTAATTAATTAATAATAAAAAAGTACATTTGATGCATAGGTACATTGCAATGAATCACTGAAAAGCAATGAGGTACCCATCCCACTGCCTAAGGAATAGAACTTCACCAATATCTCCTACTCATTCTTAAGGACTCGGTTTGATTAGTACCTCTTGTGATACACTAAGAGATTAACTATGTTGTCTTGGTGGTGAGAAAGGAATGTTTTTTTAAAATATCTTTTCCGTATTTTCCCTCATTTTTCTGAAATAAGCATGTATTTCTTTTCTAATAAGAAAAAATATTAACTTTACTTTAGAGGGAATAAAAACCCGTTTCCTCTGGGAAACTTTCCCAGACCACCATCTTAGTGGAATTAATCTTTTTATCTTTCTTTGCTCTTGAGGCTTGTTTACCTCTATTACACTTGGTTCCATGATTATTTGCTTTCTAGTCTGTCTACCCCACTGGGCTGCTCACTCTTCCAGGGCAGAGTTCATGCCTGATTCATCCCCTATGCCTAGCAGAGCTCTAATGCAAAAGCCATCCATAAAAGTTGAATGGAGAAAAGAAGAAAATAAGGAATGACCAATATCCAGCCCCTGTCACAGTGACAATGCTTTTGTTACCAAACCAGGTTTGTTTGCGCAACGTGTGGCAAGCCAAATGCTGAGACACAGAGGTTTGCGGCAGAAAAATAATTTATTCACAAGGCAGCCAAGCCAGGAGATGGGAGAACAAATCTCAGATCCGCCTCTCTGAAGGCTTGAGCTATTTATGGGATAAAGAAGTAGTGTAGACTTAGGCATGGGGAAAGGTGATTCGAGGTAGGGA